TGCGGCTGTATCACAAGCAATCGAGATCTTGCCCTATCCACAGCTCGATTGGCAGTGCTCTCGGCGCTTTACTGAAACAGCAGCGCGTCATACTGATAGGACCCAACCTTCATGGAAGAAGACCTGACCGCCGATAATCGACGCCTACTTTGCGGACATCCCGCGAACCGTGCGATAAACAAGCCCGGACAATGATGTGGGCAGTGGAAAGGCGCAGTGGAGGAGTCAGGCTATACGACGAAAACAGGTTGACTTATGAAGTCTCTAACAGGTGTTTAGGCGGCAGCCGAGTTTTTGTCCTGTCTTCCCATGCTATTTGCCGACAAAACGTTGCTGGATCCGATTTTGGTATTTAACGTGAACCATGGGAGTCTCATAATGATCCTGGTAAGCTTCATGAGTCGCTTAGTAGTACCATGATTGACGCGCCATGATGTATATAGCATGCCCGCGGTAGGACGTACATGGCGAGTTCCTCTCTGAGTCTTATGAGGATGTCTTACAGCTTGGCGGTAGCTTTACTTATTCTGGCATTCATTGTTGCTAAAGCGCTCTGGAACAAACATACACGACCTGCCCCCTTTCCCCCAGGTCCATCCGCGAATCCACTGGTCGGTAATCTTCGGGATTTCCCTGTCAGTGACCCTCACCTAGGTCTCATGGAAATGGCCAGGAAATACGGTGCGCTTTGAGCAGGTATCGTGCAAGTTGACGGCTTAGTACCAGATATCGCAGGCGATGTGATGTACTTCGACATCGTGGGAAAACCTCTCGTCATTCTTAGCAGTCAAGAAGTCGCATCGGACTTGCTGGAGAAGCGAAGTGCAATTTATAGCAGCCGCCCACGCTTCGTTATTCACGAGATGTGCGTTTCGTGCCGCGTTCGATGGCTTCTGATCATGCTCACACCAGCTGCGGTAGGATTGGGTGGGCGGACATGCTTGTATTCCTGCCGTATGGAGAACAGTTCCACAAGCAGCGCAAGTTCTTTCAACAGGCTTTCAACAAACGAGGCTGCCTTGCATTCTGCCCAACTCAGCTGTCCCAAACACATGTGCTCCTGCAAAAACTTTTGCAAGACCCAAAGCGTTATGAGGACCATGTACGACAGTAAGGCTATAGCCAATCTCGTTTGTTTTGGGGTCTGACCATGCACCATAGATTTTCTACCGCAGTGATTATGGAGATAACATACGGACACAAGGTTGCTTCCGATGACGACCCTTACATCGACATCACGGAGGCGACGAACAAGATCCTCATGGAAGCAGGCCATAACCTGTCTATCATTGACTTCTTCCCTTCGCGTGCGGCATTCTCGTTATAGTCTGAATGATTTACTGACAGTCGGTAGTCAAATACCTCCCGAGCTGGTTTCCGGGAAACTGGTTCGGCCGCCTTGCAAAAGGTGAGCCATCCCTCAGACAAGTCGCTGTCTTCTTCCTCATGTGTATTCTACCAGATGCAGCGCCATTTATTCAGAACATGCGCGACATGCCTTTCGAGCGGGTGCGCCAACGGATGGCAAGTGTCTCATTCAACCTGCCGCTCTCCGCTTTATATTGAGCGTGATGCGCAGCCTGCCGGCGATGCCTCCCCAAGCTTTGTGTCGACGCAGATCGAGGATCTACAACGCAATGGAGGAGCAAGCTCCGAAGATTTGCAGACTTTGAAGGCTGCCTCATCGCAGATGTACGCGGCTGGCGCAGAGACGGTTTGTGTTTTTGCTGCTCGTTACTTCACTCTAACATTGATCTCGGCCGTAGACATGGAGTACGCTCATGAATATAATTGCGACAATGTTTCTCTACCCCGAAGCCCAGCGCAAGGCACAGGACGAGCTGGATAGTGTTCTCGGCGGAAAGAGGCTACCTGACTTCGATGACCGCCGGTCACTTCCTTATCTTGATGCGGTCATTAGCGAAGCGATGAGATGGCACCCGACTGCCCCGTTTGGTATGCATGAGTCTGCTTGATGGCCTCGTCAGAACGACTGGATTGTAATTTTCTCTAGCCACGCCGCACAGCAGTACCGCGGACGACATCTATCGCGGCATGTACATTCCAAAGGGTACTACCGTCTTCGTCAACAACGTGTATGTCTTCTAACTTTTGGCTAGTTCATCTGGATGCACTTGGCTCACAGTGGGTACGCAACAGCGCAATTTCCATGAACGACAAGATATACAGCAGCCCTACCGAGTATCGACCAGAACGCTTCCTCCCCCCTCAATCAGAGCCGCTGCCTGTAAATATTGGGTTTGGCTGGGGCCGCAGGCGGGATCCCTTTGTCCTCTAAGAACCGCAAGTTGGCTGACTGTTGGCTAGGATATGCCCGGGACGGCTCCTGGCTGACGCCAGCATCTGGATCGTCGTCGCATCGCTCCTAGCTGCCTTCGAAGTTGTGCCGGAAAAGGACGAAGAGGGACAAGACATAATCCCCGAAATAAAGTGGCTATCTGGTACCACAAGGTCAGCATCTCGTTGTTGTCATGTCCGAAGATGAGCCTTGCATAAGATGCTGACAGGGCCTCATCGACAGCCATCCTGCACCATTCCCGTGCGCAATACGCCCGCGATCGGACAACGCTGCGCAGTCGATTACTCGGCTCTGATCATGATGACGAGTCGGATAGAGACGTATGTACCGATGATCGTATGCCTTTACTTCGTAAACTATCTGGAGATACAGGTGTCACGATGTTGAGGTAGGAATGCTAAGCTGCGGCCTTGGCTTGCGGGGCGACGTGAAAATACCCGCCACCAAGCAACAGTTGATAGGAGGCGCGGTTCTAAGGCGTCTCGTCAGTCAATCTCACTATAGATTCGGTGAGCGATTCACGGGCGACGCGGGGCACAGCACGAAGGCTGTGCACCGCAGCGGATTTGGGTTCGTGACTGGTTTCCCACGAACTGACAGGATACTATGCATGTCATGAGTTTGTCGCTGCCCCCACTTCGTTCGCCTCATTCCTCCCACCACCTCGCCTCATCCTTTGACCTAGAGCTATTTCATCTGACAATGGCCTTGCGAACGGAAGACGAACTCCCTTATGCCAAAGAGTACCTGCGTCTCCTTTCGCTAACGGGGTTCCCGAAATATTTGCGCTTGCCGGCCAGACTGGACCCTGCCTTCTGTCATAGTGCATTGCAGATATCACCCGACGGGAGGAGCGTTCAGATCAGTATGTCGTTATGTATGGTCAGCCAACACAGTATTGCTCATCGCAGTGTAGAAATAGAACTCTTGAAACGACTTACGACGAAAGCTCCGAATCGATACATGTCTGCGGCCTCCGATTACAGGTTTCTCACCACGCCATTTTGCTGCAAGGCCTATTATTTCGAGATGACTGTCTTGGAAATTGCTCAAGGGTCGTACGTGACACTCGACCGCATTCAGTGGCATGCCGTATCTGAATATATTTCTTCGCCGTCTCGTGGGTATTGGGTGCGTGGCGTCGCTCGTACCACTCCGCTCGTTTGATGCTAACCGTAGGGATAGGCTTACCATCGATGTCGACTTCTTTACATACGCCACGTTATCATACTGGAGCGACGGTACCTTCAACTTCAAGATTGAAGGACATAGCGTGCATCACGATGTAGTTCAATGTGGGCAGACTTTCAGATGTAAGTAATCAATCTCCACATATATTATCGTACACTGATCGATATTGTTCATATACGCAGCCGGAGATGTGGTCGGGTGCGGATTTCGCGTGCTATATTGCTCTTTTTATATTACAAGAAATAGGATGTGTTCAGGTACAATGCACTTCGGAATAGCCTTGTTGTCACTCACCTTATTTGCTAGATGTGGTTCCAACGCCAGAATTTGGAATGTTCCTCGAAGGGGCTGTCCCACTCACTGTTGACCCCAAAGTGTACGCTGCCCATACGCCCAATGCTTGGATGGCGCTTCGTGTCAACTTCGGGCAGGAGCGATTTGTGTTTCCTATTACACGACTCTGCACGTCAGCCAACCTACAATCAAGTGCGGCTGCCTCACTTCCTCCGGAGATAATGTCCTTTGTTGTTCGGCATGCCACGGACGATCCGAGTCCACTTAGACATGGCAGCTATCAAGATCCTTCAGTTTCTAGCATTGGTTTGATCCGCCGGCACAATGCCTCTCTAGGACGCCTCAGCTTGGTGGACAAATATTGGGCCAAAATATGTCGGCCTATGATGCTAGAGCACGTGTTGCTGACGTCCGCAGATGCAATTCCAGTCCTGTCGCTCTTCATCCACAAACTACGATTGCTTGACGTCCCCAGGCCCTGTATCAAGCGGCTGTGGACAGCCACGCCTCAGGATCTGTCGTCTGCGTTTCGTATGCGGCTCCTCGAACGCGTGCTTCTATCATCGCTTCCCCGCGACGCGCTAAGCCTCGAGGAGTTGTCCTGTACTCTGACCAGCCGTTCATCGCGGCTCGTCTGCACAGACTGCCAGTGCGGATCCCGCGACACTATCTCCCAGCGCGTGTACGGATCGTGTCTCCCACCAAGAATAGCCAAAGCAATCCCGGCTCTTCTTCGCACACTCGGTACGGTCAAGTCCTTGCGGTTGTCGAACAGGGCGTTCAAGAGCGTTCGCGATCTTGTTCGGATTATGGGCGCGCTTCGCGGTCTGGCCTTCGTTTACTTGGACGGAATCTGCTGGTCTGATACATCGACCGCCGGTTATGCTCATCTCCCTACTTGGATACGTCGTCCGGCTAGTCTTCGGCGGCTGTATATAGCGGACCGGTGCGGTGGCCGTCGCAGAGACAATGCCTTCGTTATCGCCCTATGCTCCATCTTCGTCAGCACAGCTGGAGCTCGCACGGATCATGAAACCCCTTTGCCCTTGCAGCCTTATTTATCCCCGACTGACGCCACTGAGATCCTGAATATAATCTGTGGGTTTGTTTCTTCCCTGTATGTACACTATGGAGGGCCCATCGATATTCAGCTCAATGAGCGAGACAACAACTACTGTGGGAGGCATTTTTTATCATGTCTCCGGCCGCGTCTTATGTCGGCGCATAGGTACCCTAGAAGTGCGCTTCTCTAACACTCAGCCGCCCTTACACGCCGAATTCTTGTTCAGAAGATCTACCTCGATGAGGGACTATGCACAACTCGTCTCCGTCACCATATCGCTTGCTGGAAATCTCCCCACATACACATTGGCGGAATGTTTCGGCTCGATGTGTCGCAGCGTCGAAGGCGCACTCCGCCGGATGTCCAACTACCCCGCGCTAAGCTGCAGATTTCGCGCTACCACTGTACAACTCGCCAGCCGCGACAATAGCTGGCGGTGGATGCTGCAAATCCCGTCGTACATGCCACTCCTAGAAGCTGAAGGAGTCCTCCAAATAGACCCCATTGTTTAGCCACTACGGAGCTGGCCACCCGGCATGCAGACTTCCCACTTGGTAGTCGCTTGTCCTACCACCTTTAGATGGAAGTGGAAGACATCAAGAGAAGTATCTCGAGAACAAATCACAAAAGTAAACCAATATCCCTTTCACTTCTCCTTTTTCTCTTTCTCTTTCTCCTTCGCACGCTTCTCCCTGTATCTCGCCCGTCCTGCAGCCAACAGCTTCTGGTCGAGGTCCGACCATGTGACCAGCAGTCCGTTTGCTTCATGCGGCTGAAATCGGATGTCGAGTTTCATCCCACCAAGCTTGCGCTTCTGTGTAGATAGCGGGCGGCGCGGCGACTTTGGCACGGTTGGCGCGTCCGGCGGGGGCGGCGTTATGCGAGATGCCTTTGAGGGCTCGGTGGGAGGTGCGGCAGCTAGCGCGGTGAAACGCGGTGGTCGCATAGGCTGCTTGCCTCGTGCCTTCTCCGAGAGCCCGCCGAGCGAGGAGACCTTCCCAAGCGGCTGGGCATCGACATGTTTCGCGGGGAGCGCGCCGGCACCTGTCGTCGAGCGCAGCTGTTCCTGCGCCTTTGTCCCCACTGTAGTGTGCGGCCGCGATTCCGCGCTCATCTTCGGGGCTCCCTCCTGCCTCTTACCCTTTTCCGCCTGATCCTGCTCAATTTCCCTCGCTCTCCCATTGCCCTTCTTTTCCGACTTCGCACGTGCAGGCACGACCTTTTTGGCAACTTTCTTCTCCTTCCACGGGGGCATCTCAGGCGAGGACGGGATTTCAATGATCTCCGTTGAAACCAGCCGTCGTTTTTTGGGCCGCGCGGGCGCAGAATCGGGGTCTGATGGTGCGCGACGTTTCAAGACAGGCAGGGGCTTCATGCTTGCGGCGGACGGGGAGGTGGTAGCTACAGAGGTGGGCAAGGTAGAGACTGAGGGGACGGCAGAGGTAGCGATAGTGGTAGTTGAGGTGTATTGGGTACGCGCGCCATTGGAGGCAGAGGCGGATGTAGAGGCGGCCAGCGCAGTACGCCCTGCTGGTGGCCTGGTCGGCGACTTTGCCAGAGAGATGAGAAGCGGGGTACCCCGGGTCGGGGACGATTTAGAAGTAGACTTTGAGGTCGATGGCTTAAGTTCCGGAATAGAGTCTCGAGCTTGCGAGCTCTTGGTTCCTTCAATGCTAGCTTCCACAAGTAAGTGCCGGAGAGCAGAGCTCAAAATCGCCTCTGCAGACTGTTTACGCATGAACGACGGTGCCTTCCACCCCTCGGCATCGTGATACATCTTCTCGGTGGCCTGCCCCGCCTCCTGAGCCACAACGTTACTTGGAGCAGGCTCCGTGACGTTCTGAACATCTTCTGCTTCCTCCGCCGCAGCCCCCCTACGCTCATGCACGATCGCAGCGTCACGCAGCCTATCGGTAACTTCCCTGAGAGCCTCGACGCCATTAGGATTCTTAGTGGTCAGCGGCACTAAACCGCCTGTAAACAGACGTTTGACGCTGCCCAAGATACGACTCGTGGTAGAGGTGTTCGCAGTTTGTGATGACACCTCCACAACCGGCCTGCCCGCGAGTGCAGCTTCGGGCAAGGGCTGAGCATCTGCTTCTTCCTCGCTATGTGCCTCTTCAGTTGGTGGGATCGCAGGTGCTGCAGCAGGGATAGTGGGTGACGTGTCCAGACTCTCAGCAACCAGGGCGGCGCGTATCTCCGCGACGACGCGCGCGTCGTCCGAGTCCATCTCCTCATGCTCATCTTCCGGCTCATCTACCTCATCCTGGGCCACATAGTCGCCAAGGATTTGCTCGTCCATGACACTCCCGGGTACCTCGTCGGTGTCCATCGTATTCTCCCAGTGCGACGACGCAGGCGAGCCCACAAGCTCGTCCGCTGCCTGTGCCTCGTCCTCCGCGTCCTCCTGAGCGTCATCCGCGATTTCGACTGTGGCTTCCCGAGGGTCGCCCGCGGCTTCAGCTGTAGCTTCTGGCGTAGCCGCCGGGCTCGGTGCATCGTCCACGGGGCCGCTCTCAACGCCATCGCACTTCGACTTCAAATCCTGGACGGTTGGTGGAATATGTTCACCTGACGGCAAGGCTACACCTTCCGCGGGCACGAGTACATCATCTGCAGCAGAGCCCTCTGGGTGCGGAGGCGCTGAAGCATCCTGACGGTCGCCCTCGCGCTGGGAGCCAGCCCGAACTTGCTCCTGCGAGTCTGTCGCATATGAGAGACTCTGCGCGACTCTGCTCTCCTGCGAGTCGACCTGCGCCTGCTGATGCGCGCCCGCCTGAGGTGCGTCCTGCTGGTCCTGGTCCTGACTCGGTGCTGCCTGTTCGGCCTCCTGCACCTGTGCGTGACCTTGCGCTACATCCCCGGCATCCTGTGCCCGAAGAGCGTCCTGCTGCCCCTGCATCCGACCCTGTGCCGCCTGTTCGGCCTCCTGCGATTGTGCATCGCCTTGCATTTCATCCTCGGCGTCCTGCACCCGTGCTTGGCTCTGCGGCTCGACCTGCGCCTGAGATGCGTCCCGCTGTTCCTGCACCTGCGCGTGACTTTGCGCTCCATCTCCGGCATCCTGTGCCTGTGCTCGACTCTGCGCCTCTTCCTCAGCATCCTCCACCCAAGCTTGCGCCTGCTCGGCAACAATGATCTGGCTCTCCGGCTGCGTTTGGCTCTCCTCCACGACCCCGACCTGCACCTGCCGCTCTGGGCCATCCAACGCCTTCAAGACATCGAGTCTCTGTCCCTCGACCTGTTGACCCTGACTCTGGCTCTGGCTCTGACTCGCCGTCGTCCCGCTCGTGTCCGAGTTCGGCACGAGCACGCGGCCCTGGCTCATGCCCTGGACGGCCGCGGGGAAGAGCAGCGTGCCCGAGAACGCCCTGTTCGGCGGAAGCGCGCGGCCCTGCCAGGCTCGCCGCGGCGTCGACGTCTTCGGCGGGCTCGTCCACGGCTGCGAGGCGTGCACGCGTTGGCTCGCGGCCGGCTGGGAGGTGCGCACGGGCTGGTTGAGACTCAGCTGGCTCGTGCCCAGCTGGCTCATGCCCGGCGCGCTCGCGGCCGGCTGGCTGAGGCTGGGTTGGCTGGCGGGTCCGGGCTGGCTCGGGAGCGACTCGCTTGTAGTCGGCGCGCTCGACGGCGGGAGTTGACTAGCGTGCTCGGACTGACTCGGGAGCGACTCGCTCGCGGTGGGCGCGCTCGACGGCGGGAGCTGGCTCGCGGGCAATGGGGGCGGCGGCGGCGCGCGCGCCTGCGTGCTGTCCGGCACGAGCACGCGCCCCGGGGTCGGCTGCGATGGAGAACGGAAGGACGCACGCACACGCTGTGCTGGCGTCGGCGCGGGGAGGCTGTAGCTGCTCGGGAGCGCCGCGGGTGACGGGACCTCGGGCGAGAGCGTGGGCGGGGGTGGCGTGCGTGCTGCGGCGGTGCCAGAGCTCGGGCTTTGCGACGAGAGCGGCTCGCCAAACGCGTCCTCGTGCGGGTCGCTCGACGGCTCGTCGGCGCGCGCGTCGTCGACGTCCATCAGCTCGTCGACATCTTCACCCTCGGCGTCGGCATCTTCGTTCTCGGCGTCTGCGTCTTCACCCTCAGCATCGGCGTCCTCGCCCTCAGCGTCCGCGTCCTCTCCCTCTGCATGATTCTCCCCGATAGAGTCGTCTGATACGAGGGCGCGACGTGGACTACGCCCATACACGGATGGTGACCAATGCGAGGGCGTCCGCGGACAATTATCTTCTTCTGAATCAGCATGGGCGGATGGAGTGCGTGGCTTCAGGGAGGGTGTGTGCGGTTTCGATGATGCAGGCGATGTCGAAAGGTCAAGGGCGTTGCGACCTATGGCGGACGTAAGGTCAGACAGAGAAGAGAAAGGAAGACACGTACGTTTGGGTGGCGTTCCCGGTGGGTCGCGCTTCTTCTCAGGCGCAGCTGGATTGCAAGGACTCGAAGGTTCGTGAACTACCAGAGCGTGTCGTGGTCAGAATCAGAAAGAATACCATGTTGAATCCAACGTACCGTGTTCTACATTTTTCACACCATCCCAGCTCTCTGGTGGAGGTTCAGTGCGAATCTGCGGGAGGTTGAGCCTGGCAAGGATCAGTTAGAAGAGGAGACTCTTACACGCCAACGTCGCTGGTGCGCCTTGACAGGATTTACTTTGCTCTTTCTCGGACGTTGAGCCGGACATGGCGGCTTTGGCTCAGGGGTTCCATCAGGAGAAGAGCTTCGTTGTCGTCGCCCGTATGTGAGAACTTCCATGGCTTGTGTATGAGCTGGTTGGGAACTACTTGAGCCGTCTGCGGAGTTTTCTGCTTGTTTCCTGAGTTTCAAAACGTTCCTTTCCCAAGGTTGGAATTCATCAGCGTCCCACGAGAAGCTGGTCTACGCACCCACCACCATTTCCCTCGCGTAGCCCCTGAACCCACAGATATATGTCGCTGCCCGTCTCGATGCCTTTCGGCGAGCCTAACATGCTGGCGCCTGTAGAGCCAAGCACATTGAAAGTGCAGACTTCGAGAACGAGGTGTCCGGAGCTGGACATGCCCATGCCTGGATTGGGCACACGGGCGAACATTGGTCGGAAGTCCTTCATGCTAATGATAGCAGTCTTGAATGACGATATAGAAAGCGATCCATACACAGGGTGTCTGTCGTTCGGGAATCGTGCAGGTTGGTCAAACAAAATAAAACATAGTCCACGTACTGTCTGTAGACCTTCATCGCCTCCTTACTGAATCGCACAGGAACGATATACTCGCGATCAGACACGTGGGCCCATATCCAGTTATCTTCTCCTTC